TCCCAACATGAACACATTTTTAGTCATCCTAGATAAACAAAATGCATGTGTTTGCTAATTTAAGCATCACTGTTATTATTGCTCATAGTTAGTAATATTTAAAGTTGTGATAATAGGGTTAGTAATTAATATTAGTAATTAACATATTTCGGATTACATTGCATAATTAGTTAAGCATTTCTGTTATGGCTCAGTTAGTTGAACGAACCATTTTTAAGTATTAAAGTTGCAATGAAATTGAAGCAGCAGCAGATATTTTCTTCTGTATTTTGACATGACAAGTGATTGGAGAAGTTCTGCATATGTTACAAGAGAGGATATCCAGTTATGACACTCAGATTAATCATTACCAGAACAAAAACTGCAAAATGAAACATGCACAGATGAATCGTTCACAGTAAGATCAAAAACATGCATTTAGAAAACTGATACAGTGAATTACATTTCAAACAGATTTTAAAGTGTATTTGAGGGATGCATTTGCCCTTAAAAGACACGCCGTCAGTCAGCGTCAGATCAGAGCCGATTGCAGAGAAGAGCTGTCCCAAGTGTCTTTGTGTGTCTCTGTCCTCGCCATCAGGAGCTCCAGCTGACAAACACCACACATATTCAATAAAGCCCTAATCTGAGTTTGAACAGCAGGTTCCTGCCAAACAAGCGTTCCTTCAGCTCCAGGAATTCAGTTCAGCATCGCACACACACTGAGATCCGACGCGGATCAGCACAGAACAACACGTCCTGATAGAATCAATAGCGTGTAACGCAAACCCATGCAGTCTGTGATCATTAACACGTTCATTAACAAACTCGCCACGTGTGAAACGAGAAGCCCGAAGAGTCTCGGTGGGGTTTGATGGCTTAATCTGAAGGTCAAAGTTTAGTTTGTTAATCAGGTGAACAGCATTAATGACACGCGCTAAACCTTCCTGCCGACTGCAAATGAAACCAACATCACTGTGTAGGAATTTAGGATTTTTAACATTCTTGCAGCTTAAACAGTACACAAAGGTCATTGGTTCGATTCCCAGGGAATGCATTATAGACTGAATGCAATGCAGTCACTTGAATAAAAGCATGATGCGTAAAGGTAAATTTTAAAAGGTTATGAAACATTGATGTAAAAATCAAAATACGGTAACGCTTCACTTGAAGCCTTTATGTATAAAAAAAATAATAAAATGCAGTTTTGCTGATTGATTAGCTGAAATTGGTTGTTGTGTGTTTTAATGCATTATGCTTTCTGAAGGAATAGTGTATTATAATATATTAGAACTGTGGTTACAATTATCATACAATGTAAGGTGCATCATGATATATAAACGTGTTACCAGAAATCTTTACGGTTCTCTGCTATTGATAGGTGACGAGATCTTCAGGTTTTGTTTATCAAAGCAAAAGAGAAGCCAATTACAGACATTCTCACATTCATGCTCAAGCTCATTTTTTCCCTTAGAATTTGTACTGAAGATATGCAAATAATATGCAAAATAGAATCATTATTTATACTTTTGGACTCCACTGCAGACTGTAAATCTAGACTTGTTAGACATCTTTATGTCAGGCCTATAATTTATTAAAGAGTACAGGATATTAAAATATTTAATGGCTAGTGCGCCTTCTGCATAAACACTATTATATTCATATTAATGTTCATTAAACCAAACAATATAGAGCAGAATATTGACTCGTGTTCC